TCCACACTGACATGTTCAAGCTTTTTGCTTTCAACTATAGAAGCGTCGAATATGCTGCCTGGTTGGGTTTGTTCTCTACCACCTCAAGCATTTTTGAAAGCCTAACCATAAGTATTGACTTGTTCCCGTTTTTTTTTTTTGTTGCCCCCACTCCTGCATTAGGCTCAATGAGGCTGCAGTATGTAAAAAAAAACATGAATGGTAATCTCCCACTAACTCTCAAGAGCAAGATAGGTATATAACAGCTGCATCTTGTGGTACTTACCTACGGAGCAGACACCTGGAGGATTGCAAAAAGGGTTAAAGTTAAATTCAGGACGAAGAAGCGAGCGATGTAAAGGAACATGATAAGATTAACCTAAAAAGGATCCACAACCAATTTTTATGGTACCCAATACCTTGAATGCTACGTAAAGCTTACCTATCGGTGCCTGAAATTACGGAACGGTAACGCAGAAAACCCCGCAGAACATTCATAATCAGAATGTTTAGATTTGCAACAAATATTCATTTTCAAGAAGACATGCTGCAAACTGTGGGTGTGATTGCGATAGCGATTATACGCCAGTGTAAAGCCAGCAGTGAGGAAAAGTGAAGCTCTAAGTACAAACAGGTAGTGTTGTGTTTGTCAAACCTGCAGTCCCGCGACCACTTTTTTCTAGGGTGCTAAATTACATTATAAGAGTTACAGCCCTACAGAACTTCCCCCGGGGCTTTTTCTGCAAGTACGTTTGGCCATGCGCAGGTAGATTTTCTGACTTTAGCCAAGTCGAGCCAAGAGAATTCTTCGAAAACGAAACGGCAGGTTTACTTGTGATCGCCAATTTATGCATAGTAGTTCACGTTTGGCCGCAGTTGGTTGGCTTCGATATGTCATCGCTTGACAACTTGAGCGAGTTAAAGGAACGAATTTCAGCTCGCATGCTAGTGCTAAATTAGGACTCCTCTCGAGTAGCGCCAGAGCGACATGCTTCGGTTAACGACAGCGGCAACGACGAATTCAATGTATACCGTCCACATCGCCACCACCAGCAGCAGGCATAAAGTGGTAGCAATTCTCCCCAGAGGTCGACCGCACCTCGCGTGATGAAGCGATCGCATTCACAGGTTCACGTGATTCTTCCAACGCATGCAACGCGACGCAAATCGAGCTACTCGAAAAACGCCACGTGGCACGCACATACGCCACCACACTCGTTTTCTTTTAGAGGCCACGAAAGCAGCGCCACTTTTCATTCTTTACTTCTTCTACCTTTCATGCCACATAGAAACAAACAGAATGAACAATAATGCACATATCTGAAATTTAAGCCCGTATTCCGGTGTGTTTTAATTAATCACAGGAACGTTATTAGAACTTCATCATTGTAGTTCATGATTGATTTGTTGGGTTTAACGTCCCGAAACCACCATATAATTATGAGAGACGCCGTAGTGGAGGGCTCCTGAAATTTTGACCACCCGGAGTTTTTTAACGTGCACCCAAATCTGAGTACACAGGGCTACAACGTTTCCGCCTATGTCGGTAATACAGCCGCCGCAGTCGGTATTCAATCCCGTGACCTGCGAGTCAGCAGCCGAGTACCTTAGCCACTAGACCACCACACGGGGCTGTTTGAGGTTCATAGCTCTTGCGCTAGGTGCGCGACATACCGGTTTTCGTTACTTCCGAATGCGATATAAAAATATAAATGCTACTGAGATTGTGATACGTATGCTTGTCACCATATTTCACGCTCTTTTTCTTTCCACCGGTATCTAATCACCTATTTTAGCCAGTTGTGGGCCCCTTTAAGAGACAAGAAGAAAGAATAGTGGGTCAGAGAACAAACCGGGGTTTAGAATATCCTATTTGAAATCAAGAAAAAGAAATCGACATGGGTCGGGTACGTTGCACATAAGCAAGATAACCACTCTTTATAACTCACTTATAGCTGATCGACTTTGCGCTCTGTTCCTTGTTCCTCTCAAACGCCCAACGTTACCGGAGCACGACGCCAATTTTCGGCTTGACCTAAGCATCACTCAGTCAATGTATTCGTGACACCACCGGAGCATGAAAGTTGTTATAAAGGAAAATAAAAATTGTTTATCTTGCAGCAAGATTGAAAATCGTGTTTTAATAAAAAAGTGTGGAATCATTTACTGTTTCACGCATGAGCATTTTTTAATTTTTTGTCACCTTTACCTAAAGGTGCACTACAATCGAAGCCTTCAAGGCAACCAAAACGCGTTTCAAACGCTTTGCCACGAGGCAGCGTGCTCACCACGTTGCATTGTGGTAAATCAGCCTAAAGAGCTTTTATGAATAGGTGGAAAAGTGGCTGCTGTGAAAAACTGAATTGGTACTATTGTACATGAAATCGCTTACTATCGAAGATTCGCGAAGTCGCTTTGACGGAAGTACCAAAAAAGCATCTCGAGATGCTCCTTTGTGGTTCGAAGTCTCAGTTCTACAACTTAACCCTACATCCGCGGATTGTCACTAGGATTGGCTTCGACGACTTCTCGGAGGTCACAGATCCTTGTGTAGCCTGAAGTGTTGTCACTGCTTCCGTGTTAGGCGAACAATCACTGCGTTTTCAGAGCAGCATGAACTCGCGGCACTAGAGGCTTCCATTTTGGTAGTTTCTCCTCGCGTCACGTGATCCTTTGCTTGCTACGACGGTCCGCACATAAACTCTGCGCCTGACCGTCTAGCGCATGGATGAGTGGATCAGTCGCGCTTCACTCACCGACTGGATGACTGAAGCGCGAGGCAAAATGGGGTCAGCTGAAAGTGCCTGTTAAGGGTAACTGATTAGATTGCCAGAGAAGGGAAAACGGACGTAGTGAAGACAAAGTTAGGTGGGCGGATGGGATAAAGAAATCTGCAGCTACAACGTGGCAGCAGAAAGCACGACACCGGGTTGAATGTCTCATCATGGGAGAGGCCATTGCCTTGTAGTGGGCTAGTCAGGGTGATAATGATGATGATGATGATGACTTTAATTTTATTTACTCTCTTCACAAACATACGCATAGGGAGAACGGGGAGTCTCATGCCTTAGATGTACAAGAGGACAATGTGCTTTACTACCGCTGATAGTCACCTCATAGAGAAAAATTGATGCCTGCGCCTCCCCCCCTCCCTTCTAGTTAGGTCAGTGTGAACCCTTCTCGAAAAAAATTCTGGTTACGGCCCTGAGGCCAAGTGCTCAATACGTGCATTTTTTGCATTATGTATCAGCTGGCGTCCTCTACGGAACCAAAGCTGAATTTTGCGAAGCGACGACAACGCTGCGCCTGGCTCTGGCGGCAAGCTTCGGGTAACTTGAGGGCAGGCGCGGCCGCAGAGTTTTCTACACCAACTAGAGCGGATTCTGGCGCTGTGAGCGTTCAGGGACCATGGAAATCGTAGGTATGACTTGAACTTGCCTAGTCTTCACTCTTAAGGGTGGCCAATCGCACTTGTTTCATTTGTTGCTGTGTTTTGGTTTTGTTTCGAAAGAAGAAAAGCGAACACTTTTGAACTTGGTGAGCCGATTTCAATTAGTAAGCCTAAAAGATTATGGTGTGAAGCGTAACTGTGAAACATTGGCCAATTGATTGTTTGTGACAAAGCAGTTTCAAGCTACGCGACCCTAAAAGGAACGTAAAGTACGAATACAAGACAAATACATGTACTACCCATAATTTCCATGTTCGCTAAAGTGCCATGCCATGTGATTCTAATAAATAATAGCACCAGAGTTACCATTAGTGTATACAGTTAGAAAAATCCATGGGCGTGGCAAAGAGCGCACTCGATTCAATGTGTGTTTCGCTGAAACGGTAGTGAGCGCGACACGCGTTCTGCAGTCAGTGCGGGGAAGTCGGCGCCACGCCGTCAGCTAGGCAAGACGCTCGCTGTGCGAAGTTGCCTTTCCGCGATGAAATAAGCGACTCATGGAAGCGCCGGTGAGGTCCCAAGTATTGTGGTTTCATGGGCTGCCGCAACTGTGGCAGCCCATGAATCTGTGGAAATTTTACAAGTTTGCGTTTCGATGCACCACATTTCTCTGAACAATGTGCGGCTAAATACTACAAATGCCCAAATTTTAAGGACCTCATGACACCTCATGAAAGGAGTGTCCGAAAAGGAGGGAGAAAATTTTGATTTTGAAGAAAATTGTGAGAGATCATTCAACTCCCTGAGAAGCAGCTGCTGTAGTCAGGCGACGTCATTCTTGTCGCAGACGCTCATCAAGAAAGTCTGCATCCAGTAGCAAGCTTCCTGCAAATTATTTTACGGTTGAATCGACGTCATTAACGCCAAACAGAACGACGCACGCAATGCGGTGTTCAAGCTTCTACACTCATTTGAAGTTCTACACTCAATCTTTATGGACTCTATTTTCTGTGCCCGACACGACGTCTAAACATATTTTGAGCTGTTTTTTTAAATACTATTTGTGGCGTTGTGTTTCTTAACATCCGTCCAAGGATATATAGTCTGAAACAAACGCGTTCCTATATTCAATAAGCAATGCTTCTTTGCCTGTTGGACCGTTCACTAGCCTTTATTTACGCCACTTGTTTAACCAGTAACGATAAGCTTTCACAACGCCTGGTGTCACATGAACTGGCGCAAATGTTTTTGCAATATTTTTATGTTTACCAAGAATCCTTTTCAGTCAGGCTTCCATTTTTCCCCTGCATTTGTATTTTAAAATTTATAATGGTATCACCTTGTCGTGATGCTCGTTGGCATAGCCCAATATGTGCTTTTGTAGCATCACACGTGGCACTGTTCTTTTCGACAAACGCAAAAATTGCATACATACCACCCACTGCGTCCAGTCAATAAACACACACTTTCTTACCAGTGTTTTACCTCGAGGTTTTTTATGTTAGAGGAAGCAATAGCCAATTGTTCATCTTGAGACGTCATTGAAAAGAATGCACTGCGTTGGGACCACCTTGTATTGATGTCACGAGGCGGATATAAAAATGTGGAGGATTGAAGACAAAGCACACTTTTCTCCAGACACAAGGCAGAAGGTCCAGCGTTATGATGTCAACAGTAAAGGTTGCCTTTCTGCTAATCTTCACAGTCACTCTCCTCACGATGTAAGTGCAATTTTAAGCAATACCTTTTTGAAGTTAGTTATTGAGACATAAATCATATGTCATGCATGTATTCGTTATAGTTTCATGATCAAAAGGAAGTACACTTGACTTCTTTGGGGTGGTCTTGACTTGCTTTGTGTATGACTTTCTTTAAAGAGGCACATTGACTGTCGTCTGGGTCACACTGTTCTCGGAATAGAGTATAACGATCTCTGAAGAGAGTTTAAGTGCCTTTTTTAAGGGAGTCGTATACGTTTGAAATGAGGGCTTCCTGAAAGGACTGGAGTATAGTTATTTTTGTTCTTAGTGTGTGGGGCAATGCAGAAACAAAAGTTTAGTATTCTTTACTAAATAGTTACCGCGAATTTCTTATAAGAATTCACGATTATGATCGAAAGCTTCACCATCAGAATGATAGATACAAAGTGGGCGGGCTAAATACGCATATGTAGGTTATGGCTTTAAGAAATACTGACACGGCTCCAAAACATCGCAAAAAGGACATTTTTCAGTTCCTTGGTATGCAGTGCCAAGGTTCTCCATCCACAGGAGTCAGACTACACGTTACGAATATTTTACTTCATTTGTAAAAATTATACGGATGATCATCTGCAAGCCCGCCCCAGTGCAATGAACATTATCGCGACGACTGGAAACAGTTGCACTTAGTTTGCGAGGTTGGCGTCCCGCATGCACAACTAATCGCAAAAATCTTGCCACCTCTAGAAAGTGAAATGTGACGAAGGAACTTGCTCGGAACTGATCGGGAGAACCCATGAATCCTGGTACAGTGCTCTACCAACATATAAAGATTTGAAACGTTGTTATAAGAATGAGTGACGTACAAATGTTTTGTTAATTACATAATAATAATAATATTAATACATGTGGCTTAACGTCCAAAAACTCTGGCATGATTATGAGAAAGGCCGTAGCGGAGGTGTGAAGAAGTTTGGACCACCTGGCCTTTTTTTAACGGGCACGTAAATCACTTTAAATTACATAGAAAATGCAGCCGCCGCCACCGTGATTTCATCCCGCGAATGTAGGGTTAGCGAACGAACGCCATAACTACTACACCACCAAAGTGGGGCTATTTACATGTCGATGCCACTATATACACTTACATATACACAAGAATAATAATATACATATGGATGCAATGGAATAAGAGAATTGCATTGCTGAGTACAAAACTTTGGGACCCGTTTTTTTAAGATTGCAATTTCGTGGTCAGTAAAGTATGGGGCGAGGGTATTTCGAATCAGAGGTTGTCACCGAAAATGGAAGCAGGCAATGTTGATACACATCTCGAGTCGAGGTTCTCTTGCACCACTTGCATGCCCCCTCTGCTTTGCGGGCGTTCTTCGCAGCACAAAAAGCACATAACATCCTATGACTGTGTACTGATACTTCGCTTATCAGCAGAATGACGTGTAATATAGTAGCATAGTGGGTGCTTACCTACATTATGAGAGTTATGGCGAGCGTGTAATGGGTACATTGCACAGTTGCGCCTTTCGCATATATGCCAACGGACATGCCCAAAGCATACAAAGGTTGGCAAACAAGCTTCTGAAAAATCACAGCCACTGGACGATAATTAACTTGTCATTATAAACGCCCTCACGAGCAGATGACATGCCTGCCACTGATTTGTCCCTAGTTGCTGCTTCTCCATGAAGTCACACTGTCATTACGCATCACTCAAAAACAAACGCCATAGATATCAAAACCGATAGTGCCTTCCAAATGCGAAGCATTTCTTAGCGAACTTCGGCGGCTTTGACCGTAATTGCCTCTGTATCTGTCTATCTAGCCGCCTACTACTTTTGGCCCTCCTGGCCGTTTCCGTACTACAATCTATACCTAAATTGGTATGGCGTAACACGACTGTATCACGGACACAAATGATTAGTCATAACATGAAAATCACCACATGTATGTCATGGATGCCTTGATTTACATGTCATAGTCTTGCTGCTGTTTAAGGGGGTTCGTTCACATGATATATTGCAAAACTGGTATGGTATGACATGACTGCATGGGGAAGGTAAGTGACCGGGCCTAACGCGGAAATCATGGCATGCATGTAATGTACGTCATTACTACACACCACGCTGGAGGTGCGCTCGCGGTCGTTTCGCGAGCTTCACATACACAAAGTTTAGTATTACGTGACGTGAATGAATGACGAGTGTTCACGACTGGTACAAACATGATGATAACAACAAGCGTGTCATGTAAAATATGACTTCATGCTACAATCATGAAGACCCGCCACCGTTTCGGTAGCTTCACAAATACCAAACTTGGATTGCGTGACATGATTGGACGAGGAACATGAACGCTAGGCGCAAACATAATATTTATAATACGGAAGTCATGTACGGCATGATTTACGTCCGCCTTGCAAGGTTGTGCTGGTTTTACGGTGACAATGTATGTAGGATTGGCCAATTTTTTTGTAGTGGTAATGAAAATATATTTGATGCTTTTCTCTGCCACCGCCCGAATAATAATTTTTGGTATATTGGTTCAAGAACTTTATTTGGAGCAGAAATCCGGAACCTTTTAAATTTATGTTGTCAGTACTTCATAATCAGCATTCCAACCATCCTGAGCACACTGCATACAGCTGACTAGCCTGAACCGTCACTGAAGACAGCATATATTAGACAGTTTTAGTACCAGGGAACCAATGCGGCTTGTCTATGCAAGCCTTTGCCCCTCACTCGAAATGACGCAAACTTACTGTGTCACCTGTACTCAGAAGTAGTTTTCACAACGACGTACTCTTTTCGCATAGCATTGACAGACACCTCCAGGGGTGACTCGTTCGACAATGATGAAACGAAAGAACGTCTACCATGTTGTTGCCATCATTTAGCGAGCCAACGTAACATTCTGCGCAACGTGGTGAATGAACTAGATGACAGATCACTTGCCGAAGACAAGACACTAGAACCATTGCTCTACGCGTCACAGGCCAGCGAACAGACGTGAAGAAAGTTAGTGTATTAAAATCAAAAGAGTTAAGGGAGCCCTAGTAAGCATGCAATAGACAGGTGAACTTGTACCATTACAGACTAATCATCCCTTTTCTTTTTTTTAAACTCATTCATTCTCCCCCCTTCCCTACCGTCAAGAGCAACAAGCCAGAGAAACGTATAGTGAACTCCCTATTTTTCATGCCTTTTCTTATTCCTCCTGTTTAGACGTTCCAAGAAGAGCAAACGAGTAAGACAGAGCAAACGCAAGTCGCTTGGTGTCTCTAACTCTAGTTTAGCGAAATGACCCTCAAGAAATTACATTTTTTCAAAGTTTATATTTTCATCTTAACCTAAAATATCAACGCGTATCCGGTAAAAAAACCAAGAACTGTACTATTTAGATTCGGTAAATATTAGTTTGCCGTTACTGAAATAACAGATTACCGCTTTCTCTACACCACCAATGTGCCCTTACATCTAGCAGCTCTTCCTTAAATTTGTGTTTGTATATATGCTTGGTGGGCATATACACCGTAGTCTGCAGTATTATTGAAATTTCTGTATTCCTACTTTGGTGATTGTTGCATACTTTTTTTTCATTATCTTGTGTTGTATTAAACTTTTTGATGGGCTAGTGGGTGTTGTATCCCAAACATTATATTTTCACCGCAAACAGAAAAAAGAACTAGTAGACAAGCGACGAAGACAGTGCCCATAGTTTGTCCTGTACACCGCCTTTATAGCTCTTTCTTTCTTCTATTGCGCTGAAATAATGGCGTTTTGAATCTTGTGTTGCCACCACTGCTTCAAACAAAATTTTTCAGGGAGTGAAGACATAGTAAGAGGCAAAAGCGGCTAGGTGCTTTTATTCTCGCGTATTTTATGAGCATTATGTTCATAGATATTGTCACGGGGTCGTGACGTGGCCAAAGACAGAAAACTTCGTGTTGGGATTTAACTGTTTATTTGGGCGAACCTGTGCCCGGTAAAGGGAAAGTCTAATTACAGCAGCAGTTTTGCACAGATAGCAGTCTCGGACTGATAGCGGCGAACGCAGCGTCGGCCTTCGATCAACAACTGACAAGCGGCGAAGCGCGTCGGCATTTATACCCTTGCCGTCGAATGTTCTAGCGTTATCGCTGGCGGTGGCGTAGGTTCCAGAACAATCTGTACCGTTCGCACAGTGGGCGTGATCTTATCGAAATGATCTACTACAGTCCGGAACCCTCTAGAAACCTGCAGGCGCGGTTTGCGCCGAGAATCATGTGGTGTTTCGGAACGATAACAAAAACTTGTGAAATGGAACGTGGCATTGCCCCCCTCTGAAAAAAAGGTATCGTCCCGATGCTTTAACTAAAGATGAAGGTACAGTAATAATGCAAGAAAGTACAATTGAATAAATTACAATACAACAATAATACAAAAAACACTGTTTCAGTTTGTTAACGTGCATGAAACGGCTTGAGGCGCGCGACATGGACGACTTCAGGTCGCGATCGGCGTCGTTGAGAGTTCGTGATGCCGTCGGGGACAACCTCGTAATCAAGTGGGCCGAGACGTCGAACCACCTTGTACGGTCCGAAGTACCGTCGCAGAAGCTTTTCACTTAGTCCACGTCGGCGTATCGGCGTCCACACCCAAACACGTTCACCGGGCTGGTATTCCACGAAGCGTCGTCGAAGGTTGTAACGGTGGCTGTCGGTCGTCTGTTGATTCTTGATACGGAGACGCGCAAGTTGTCGGGCTTCTTCGGCGCGTTGAAGGTACTCGCTCACATCGAGGTTTTCTTCGTCGGTGACGTTGGTTAACATGGCATCGAGCGTCGTTGCCGGGCTCCTTCCGTAGACCAATTTGTATGGAGATATCTGCGTCGTCTCTTGCACCGCCGTGTTGTATGCGAAGGTCACATACGGAAGAATGGTGTCCCACGTCTTGTGTTCGACATCGACGTACATTGACAGCATGTCGGCGATCGTCTTGTTAAGCCGCTCGGTGAGGCCGTTGGTC